ACTCCTACAAAGAAAGGGCCCACAGGGCCAAAACCAATTTGGCTCAGTGGATAGAGCGTCGGCCTGTGGACTGAAGGATCCTGGGTTTGATTCCGGTCAAGGGCATGTACCTTGGTTGCGGGCACATCCCCAGTGCGGGGTGTGCAGGAGGCAGCTGATTGATGCTTCTCTCTCATCGATGTTTCTGACTTTCTATCCCTCTCCTTTCCTCTCTGTAAAAAAACAATAAAAATATAATTTTTTAAAAAAGGGCCCACACAGCAAATCTTCAGAGCCAGATTCTAAAGCACATGTGTCAAACACAAGGCCCGCGGGCCAAATCCGTCCCGCCAGGCCTTGCAATGTGGCCCGCACCGCGCTGTCATCACTGCACTCCGCTGCGTTTCCATCACAATGACAGTTTATGACTGTTCAGTAAACCATTCGGCCCGCGATTTAGGCTGGATTTTAGATTTTGGCCCCTTCTCTGATTGAGTTCGACACCCCTATTCTAAAGGATCCGTCCATTTCCAAGTCACTTAACAGCATCAAGGACAAAGCTCAAAAGATGCAGGGTAAAAAAAAAAAAAAAAAAAAAAAAAAAGATGCAGGGTGGGGCAAAATAGGTTTACAGTTGTTTGTATGGAAAATTAAACAATAAATAAAAAAAATGACACAAGGATAAACTCTGTTCCACATACTCCTAACTGTAAACCTACTTTAAAAAATATATATTTTATTGATTTTACACAGAGAGGAATTGAGAGGCACAGAGAGTTAGAAACATCGATTAGAGAGAAACATCAATCAGCTGCCTCTTGCACCCCCTGCCCCCACTGGGGATGTGCCCGCAACCGAGGTACATGCCCCTGACTGGAATCGAACCCGGGACCTTTCAGTCCGCAGGCCGACGCTCTATCCACTGAGCCAAACCGGTCCCGGCTGTAAACCTACTTTTGCCCCACACTGTACGTCTAGAACTATAAAGATACCCTGCACTTAGGGGGAAATTGTAATGTCTGGCATCCAAAAACCAATCAGAAGCAGAAAAAACAACAACCAATAATGAGGAGAGGAATCATGCAAGAAAAAGGCTGGAAAGAAAGAAAAACGGTCCTTTATTTGCAGAGATGATCGCCACAGAGAAAATCTGACGGTTTCTGCAGAAGAGCTACTAATCAGGGAGTTTCGCAAGTTTGCAGGAGGCAACATCTTTTTAATTTTATTATTTCATTTTATTTTTAAAATATATATTTTATTGATTTTTTACAGAGAGGAAGGGAGAGGGATAGAGAGTTAGAAACATCGATGAGAGAGAAACATCGATTAGCTGCCTCCTGCACACCCCCCACTGGGGATGTGCCCGCAACCAAGGTATGACACGCCCTTGATCGGAATCGAACCGGGGACCCCTTAGTTCGCAGACCAATGCTCTATTCACTGAGCCAAAGCAGTCAGGTGAGGCAACATCTTTTTATTTTTTATTTATTTGTTTTTTGAAATATATTTCTTTGTTGATTTCAGAGAAGAAGGGAGAAGGAGAGAGATATAAACATCAATGATGAGAGAGAATCATTGACCGGCTACCTCCAGCACCCCCGCCCCCAACTGGGGACGAGCCCACAACCCAGGCATGTGCCCTTGGCAGGAATCGAACCTGGGACCCCTCAGTCCACAGGCTGACGCTCTATCCACTGAGCCAAACGAGTCAGGCAAGGCAACATCTTTTTAGAGAGAGCAACTAGAAGAACGTGTAAAAGTTCAAAATAAGAGGCTTAGTTCTCCCTGTTACCATAGGAGACATCCCCACTTCCCCTTCCGTAAAGCATTTACTTTATTTTTTAAAATTAATTAATTAATTAATTAATTATATATTTTATTGATTTTTTACAGAGAGGAAGGGAGAGGGATAGAGAGCTAGAAACGTCAGTGAGAGAGAAACATCGACCAGCGGCCTCCTGCACACCCCCCACCGGGGATGTGCCTGCAACCAATGTACATGCCCTTGACCGGAATCAAACCTGGGACCTTTCAGTCCGCAGACCTACGCTCTACCACTGAGCCAAACCGGCTTCGGCCATAAAGCATTTTCTTTAGAAAGCTTGTAACTGCTTTGTCTGCCTCTTTGAAAGCATGCACATTTCTTTTCCTGCAGGAGACAAGAAACCAGCACGTGACTGGCCACCAGGCACTACCTGGATGTGCAGAAAGCCATCTTGCTCATCCCCAGAAAGCCACGTGGGGAGTCCACGCCTTAGGATCTGAATGCACCCACACCCGCCTCCCGTGAGCCTCACACCGGTCCCCGGCAGTCCCCCAGGCTGTCTCATGGGAAGGGACAGGGTGGATCCTCCGAGCATGAGGAACACCTCACCGCCTGTCCCCTGCCTGCCTCCCACGACGCAGGCAGCCTGTCCCCACGCCAAACACAGGCCCAGAAAGGGACCCAGAGCTGGTGAGACTGGGGCCGAGCGTGAGGAGACCACAGCTGTGGCTCCAGCACCGCCCCTGCGCGGCCTGAGGCGGGACCCAGTGCATTCTCCTAGTTAAGGCCTCGCACAAACCAGCTCTGAGCCACGCACTCAGTGCGCAGACCCCAGGGGCCAGGAGGCACCCGAAGCTGGGGAGAAGCTGGGGAGACAGGCGCGAGGAAGTTCAGGGTGTGGACGAGCGGGGTGGACCCTCCAAACAGGGAGATGCCCTCAGTAGCTCTCCCCGCGCTCCCCAGCAGCCCGCACCCACCCACGGTCCAGTGCAGGAGGCACGTATCCATTGTTAGGCCCCTCCCCAGCTTTCTGGCCCAGGAATAGCTTTTTCACGGGCCTGGGGAGCAGCTCTTTGCAATGGAAACATCAAGCAAGTTAGCGTCGTGACTCCGGTTTCTGTGGGAGGTGGAAGCCTAACTTCAGTGGACGCCTGGCTCCAAGCTGCAAAACTCGCTCCTGTCACACAGAAACAAGGCATTCATTTCCCTCTACTCCAGCTGCTCCAGCAAAATACCAACAGGGAGGCTCAAAGGACAGACATTTATTTCCTTAGGGACCTGGAGGCTGGGAGCCCACAGTCAAGGAGCCAGGAAATCCAGCTTCTGGGGAGGACTCGTCCTGGCTTGTGGGTGGCCACCTTCTCTTGTGTCTTCACATGGCCTTCCCTGGTGCACGGGGATGGAGAGGGGGGAGAGGGAGGGAGGGAAGGAGAGGGGAGGCAGGACCTGGGAGTATAGGGAAGCCACCCGAAAGGGGGGGAGGGCTCTTACCAACCTTGACTCTCCTTTCCCTGCACTTGTCCGCTCCTGCCCCCGGCGTTAGTCACATGGACCTTCCCCAGAGCCTCCGGGGGGGAAAGCACTACCCCAGCCTCCCGGGGGCTCCAGGTGGCAGTGCTGAGGGAGGTATGGTACCGTGGATAGGAGAGTGGGTGCTTGAATCAAACAAAACCTCAAATCCAGCCTCTGATGCTTCCTAGCTGAGTGACCTTGAGAAAGTTACTTAGCTTCTCTGAGCTTCAAAAGGTATAATAGTATCTAGCTCACTGGGTTGTTTTGAGAATTATACAGAGTGGCAAGGTGCATGAATTAGTGCATGGGTGGGGTCCAGCCAGCCTGGCCAGGGGGAGGGGACATGGGCGGTTGGTCGGCCTGCCTGCTGGTTGAACTCCTGGTTGAGGGGACAATTTGCATATTACCCTTTTATTATATAGGATTGCCAGAGATCATAATAATCTGGCTGCTCAGTGTATATAACAATGTCAGTCAAGTACATACAGATCTTTTAAAAAATATATTTTATTTTTACAGAGAGGAAGGGAGGGATAGAGAGCTAGCAACATTGATGAAAGAATCATCAACCAGCTGCCTCCTGCACACCCCCCACCAGGGATGTGTCTGCAACCAATGTACATGTCCTTGACTGGAACTGAACCTGGGACCTTTCAGTCCGCAGGCCAACGCTCTATCCACTAAGCCAAACCGGTTTTGGCTTTGTTTTTAATTATAGTTCCCGAAGACTATAGTACACTGCCTCCCCCTCTCCCTTCCCCAAAGTCTTAACCATCTGCCCCAGCACTTGGCTTCTCTGACCTGAAACAAGGACAGTAAAGCACACAATTTATATATATATATATATATATATATATATATATATATATATATATATACACACATACATACATATATATTATTTCAGAGAGGGAGAGGAAGAGAGAGAGAAACATCCATGATGAGAGAGAGACATTACTCAGCTTCCTCCTGCTTGTTGGATTGAGCCCGCACCCCAGACATGTGCCCTTGACCAGAATCGAACCTGGGACCCTTCAGTCTGCAGGCTGATGCTCTATCCACTGAGCCAAACTGGCCAGGGAAAGCACACAATTCTTATTCTAGTGTTTCTGGATTCTTTGCTCTGTTCATGCAAATTGTGTGTGTGTGTGTGTGTGTGTGTGTATTTGGTGCCAGGAAACAATTCCAGCAGTGACAGGGACGTGGGCATTCTGGTGTGGGTGGGCACATTTTCTGGAAATCAAGTTTGCATTATAGATCTACCTGTTGGAATCTATCTTAAGAAAACAACCATGCAGATATTATATACAATAAACCCACTAACACATTATGTATAATGGGGAAAATGAAAATGATTCACGTGTTGAATAAGGACATTATAACGCATCTTCCATGCATCATTCAGTAAGAACTATGGTCCAGATACTAAATGAGAAAATTTCAGGGAAAAAAAACCCAATGCTAACCTTGAAAAATCTACATTCACTGTGGACCTACAATTCTAGAACTATAAAAGTGTTCCCAACTGCTGGTAGCAGTTCATGCTGAATGACAAGATCCAAGTAGCTTTCATTGGTTTCTGTTTCCGAAATCGTCTTCCATTTAATATTTGAATATTTTTGATTATTTGAACCCCAGAACCTTCCCTCCAACTCAAGGACAAAGGCCAGAAAAACGACGCTGACAAGAAACTCAGATGCAAAATAGCAGCTCACTTTTACTACTCGAGTTAAGCGACATTTAAGCAACAATTAAACAAGAGGGCAGAGAGTGCCCCAGGGCTGGTGTAGGCAAACAGCAAACGAACCCCCCTCCCCAAATCAAACCGCAGCTACTGCAAAAACCATGGCCCCAGGGAAGGATGTATTTCCCGGGACAGGACACTCCTGTGGCCTCAAGGCCCCTTTTGGGTCTGACATTTACAGCAAAACTGGGGGACGAAGTGCTGCATGGTCTGCACCACTATGGAAAGCCGGTGGAGCAACGAAGCAGTAGAAATCTGCAGGAGGTCAGCGTCCTCAGATGTTAATCGGCTAAGAGCGAGGGGAGAAGAAAAAGCATTTTAGAGGCGGTAACTGGGCGCCTTCAACACTCCAACCCCTCCCCCAACTGGCAATTCGACCAACTCCTTCATCAGAGAGGCGATCAGCCTGCCAGGTGCCCCACGGCCACCCTTCTGGGGTCCCCACATCGCTAACAGCGCCCCTGGGCCAGAGATCGGCCCCGCCCGCTCCCTGCTGCTACCCCCGCCCAGTCCCTCCTGGAACTTACATAAACAGGTCGCAGTCAGTCACCGAGAGGTTCAAGTGAACCCTCCCGTGGTAGGTCTCAGCACCTGCCAAGAGGTACCTGCGGGCCACCTCCGCATCCACGTAGGACAGGAAAGGCACCGTGAGATTGCTGGTGGGGTTAAGGTAAAGGCTCCATCCACACAGGCTTTTCAGTTCAGGCCCCTTTGCCCCAGGCCCCCCCTCAGGCCCCCCATGACCCTCCAGGATGACCCTTCAAGGACTCTGGACCACAGCCCCTGGTGAGCAACTTCCCGTGCCTCCAGGCCACACCCCACGTCCCCAGGCCACCACGGCTGCTTCCCCCAGCCACCTTGGTTCCATAAGTCCCCCTGTCCTCCCAGATTTCCACCCCGGACCCCCGGGCCCCGAAGCCTATCCTGCCCAACCCCCTGAGTCCCCCCGCCTCCCGCCCATCCCCTCACCCTTTCCTCCCACGGGAGGGGGCTCCATGGAAAAGATACAACTCCGACACTCGAGTTCTCTGGCGTCTGTGGGAGGTGGAATCCACTGCAGCCTGCCCTGAGACCCGCGAGGCCCGCGAGGCCCGCGAGGTCCTCAAGGGGCGCGAGGCCCGCGAGGCCCGCGAGGCCCTCTCGACCTGGGGGTCTCCCTCAGCAGCAGGGATTTCCTCTCTGGGGTTGTTCTGGTCTCCAGAGCCCACGGCGCCCTCTGGGCCATCAGGTGGCCCAGCACCGCCGTCCACTCCACCCCTGCCGTCGTCGTCCTCCTTTGGCGCCTGCATGGTTGCTCTGCCACCACAAGCCAGAAGTCTCCTCACACTCACGGTGAGAAAATAGGCTCTCCCAAGAAGCTCCGCCCCCTACAGGCTGCGCCTGCGCACACTGACCTGGGGGGCGGCTCCTGGCACTGGATTGGCTCCTGTCTGAAGTCTGCCCTGCAGGGAGACCCCGCGAGAGGAGTGGCTGGGAGCCTTCACGAAGCCCCGCCCCCGTTCTTCACGAAGCCCCGCCCCCGTGCTTCACGAAGCCCCGCCCCTCCATGCGTGCCGCCCACGGGCCCCGCCCCTCCTGGAAGGGCGGGTCTGGAATGAAGGCCTGGGTGCTGGGAGGCAGAGTGCGTCCACCATCCACCGGAAGCCAGCAGAAAGGTGGGTGGAATGTGGCCGGGAAACAGGCTCCAGACATGGCCGCCTCAGCCGTGCAGGAGCACCAGCCCTCGGGCTTGCAGGCCGTGCCCTGAGGGAAGGACATGGCCCGTGTCCCTGTGGGCTCACTGTGTCCATCAGTAAATGGCGAGGGGCGGGTGGCCCGCTGGGGGACAGCTGGCCATGTTAAAAGTCTCCTCCAGCCTCAGACTTTTAGGAATCTGAGAATAAACAGTATTTCTCAAAACGTACTGATGGGCTCCTGTCCCACGAGCAGCCAGTTCCCTCGGGGCAACCCAGGAACTCACTGCCCCCGAGGATGGGCTGTAGAAGGCCCCCGTGCCCGTGGAGACCCCAAGAGATGCCTTTAGGCTTTCCACTCCCACGGCCGCGACAGCAGCTCCCAAACCTGCTGCTCCAGGCAGGCAATAGGGGCTACCGCCTCACCTGCACCCCCCTACCCTCCCCCACATACATGAGCTACCGCCTCACCTCCACTCCCCTTACCCTCCCTCACATACATGAGCTACCGCCTCACCTCCACTCCCCTCCCCTCCCCCACATACATGAGCTACCGGCTCACCTGCACCCCCCTCTCCTCCCCCACATGCATCCAAAGACCAGACAGAAGCATCAGGATAGGCCCGTGATTTCCAAGAAAAGGTTGTCCCCCAAATTGGGAGGTTAGGCGTGAGGGATGTCTTCAGGGCACTCATCTCCTCGTGCAGCCCCGCCTTCATGACCTCATCTAAGCCCCATTACCTCTCAAAGGCCCCATTTCCAAATACCGTCTGGCTGGGGGTCAGGGCTTCAGTATACATGGATTTTATGGGAGCGGGGGAAGGACCCAAACATTCAGTCACAGCAGAGTGCTCCTCCCTGACTCCATTATGTGTTTGTGACTATTTTAAAATATATATATTTGCTGAAACCGGTTTGGATCAGTGGATAGAGCGTCGGCCTGCGGACTGAGAGGTCCCAGGTTCAATTCCGGTCAAGGGCATGTACCTTGGTTGCAGGCACATCCCCAGTAGGGGGTGTGCAGGAGGCAGCTGGTTGATGTTTCTCTTATCGACATTTCTAGCTCTCTATCCCTTTCCCTTCCTCTCTGTAAAAAAATCAATAAAAATATATTTTTAAGAAGAAATAAAATATATTTTATTGATTTTTTACAGATTGGAACGGAGAGTGATAGAGAGTTAGAAACATCGATGAGGGAGGAACATCAATCAGCTGCCTCCTGCACACCCCCTACTGAAATCTTTCAGTCCGCAGGACAACACTCAGCCCACTGAGCCAAACTGGCCAGGGCTGAATTTGTGACTATTTTTAGCGGGGAGCTAAGGATGGATGTGACCAAATATCAAAACAGCATCTTGACTGATGGCGAGTCCAGGGTCGCTGTGTGACAGGAGGAGGTGCTCGGGTCGCACAGGTACTCCCAGCTGCGGGATGGGACAGGACAGGACAGGACACGACAGTGCACTAAGGTTTTGTGATAACAATCTGTTAAAGCAATCCACCTCCCAATGCCCTCAGGAAGCTCCTGGAATCACAGAGCTATGGAGGCCCACACTACTTTCTCTCAAGTTCACCTGGGAGTGCCCTTCCCCCCCTGTGCTGGGGCCTGGGAGACCCTGCTTCCCAGCTGGCCGCTGCAGGGGTGCTGATGCTCCTGCTCCTGTGCCAGGTCCCACCCCCACATCTCAGGCACAGGGGGGCCGCAGGCCGTGTCTGGGTTCCTCTCCGCTGCTTCTGGCCCCCCTCTCCCTGCTGCTCTGGTGCCTGTCCTTACCCAGCCCTGCTCTGTGCCCCAGAGCTGCCCAGGTGGGTGGCACCACTCAGGGCGCTCCTTTGTCCAGGATGCCAGTTGGGCTCAGCCAGTGGAGACCAGAGGGTGGGAGGAGTTCGAAGCAAGGGTGTTTGTCTCCTCAGAGCTCCTGGGGACTCCCTGCTGTTCTGGGCGTGGCCGCATCCCTCAGCTCTCAGGGGCTGCAGCAGCACTGACCCTGTCCCCGCCCCTTTGGCCCAGGCTGTGCTATAGGGGAGGTGGCTTTTCCTCAGGCGAGGCTTAACGAAAATGAATAAATTGAGAAGATATTTTTGTATTTTGGTGCCTGACCACCCATGGTGGCTGTGGCATACCGGTAAATGTTTGGCTACTTGTTCTTGGTGTGTGGGCAGGTGGGGAAACTGGAAAGTATGCACATACATCTGTATAGAAGTTTATTAGAATTCTAACTCTGTCATAATTCTGACTCCCATAAGGAATGTGTAGTACCCCCAATTTAAAAGTATAATAAAATATAAGTTACTATTTATTGTAAATTTCATGGACTTCATGGATTCCCACAGATTGTTTTAGCTGACTTTTGCCAATCTGTAATTGCCAATGTGGACCAGACATGATTGTCACTTGATATTTTCATTCATGTTCTTGAGTAAGGCAAAAACAACACAGACATCCATCCATCATAATGTTGTCAAATCAAAATGTTGGAATATGGCAAACGCATTTCCTCACATTTTTATGCTATTCACATTGGGCCAGCTACAAGTAACACACAATTTCAAGTTCATTGAATCTCATTAGTAAAATTTCCTCTGTCACTTCCTTAAGTCTAGGCAATCTACAGGACAATCAGCCAGTGGTCAGCAAACCCGAGCTCTTGAGCACAAGTGGCTCGCAAGCCATGGTTTGCCCCTCTGTTGACTAATGAGTTTGCCGACCACTGCAATAAGCCAAGGCCTGATTTACACCATTTGCCAATTTCCATGGTGTCAACATTCTAACTCTGGCTGATTTCAAACCACCAGCGGATGTCATGGAACCAGTGTCAGGGAGAGATGTGTCCTCGCTAAGGATTATACACTATTTCCACCTGGCAGCCCCAGTACACAAAATTAGCTACAAGCGCATAGATGACAGTACCATGTAGTAAAACAATTAGAAAGTGGTGTTTTTGTACCTTTCAGAAGTATAATTCATTTCAGTTATAATTGGGTTGTAATTTCATGTAATTAAGATTCTAATAATTATGCCAGATAGCCAAGACCGGTTTGGCTCAGTGGTAGAGCGTCGGTCTGCGGACTGAGGGGTCCCAGGTTCGATTCCAGTCGGGGGCATGTACGTTGGTTGCCGGCACATCCCCGGTGGGGGGTGTGCAGGAGGCGGCTGGTCGATGTTTCTCTCTCATTGACGTTTCTGGCTCTCTATCTCTCTCCCTTCCTCTCTGTAAAAAAATCAATAAAATATATTAAAAAAATAATTATGCCAGATAAATGACCAGTGGAGATCACTATGCAGCACAGTGTCTATAGTGAACATTACTGTATTATAGCCTTAAAAGTTGCTCTGTTGAGATTTATGATCAATATTCTCACCACACATACCCAACAAATAATAAAGGGGTGGGAGGAGACTTTGGCTGATGATAGTCTATGCCCTTGATGGGGGTGATGGCTAACGGGTATGCTTACCCCCAACCTCGTAGAGTTGTATACATCAAATACGCTCAGCCCTCTACCTGTTCAGCATACCTCAATAAATGCTTAGGAGAATAGGATAGAATGAGCTTTTATTATTGGCGGCACTGAACATCCAACTCCCAAATTTCCAGTGATTTAACACTCAGTTCTTGGGAGCCCCACCTCTGCTTATTGGTCCCTGGCCCCTGCTCGCACCTCCCTGCATGGTCCTTTCATAAAGCACAACTTAGCAGCAAACCTCACAGGTTCCACTCGTTTCCTGTGGCACCTTGACTGGCACTCCATCGGCAGGTGCAGGCTCTTAGGATGACTTGGAGTATCCTCATGTAGTGGGCGTGGTTCATTCGCAGGCACGGCAAGCCTCTGGCTATTTTTACACAGGGAGCAGGTGCTTACAGAACATGTAAAGGGCTGGTATAGACATACAGAGTGGCATGTAGGCTGAGGCCGGGAATGGCCCGGTGACCACCGAAAAGACCCGCCAAGGGCGTCGGCCCCCGGGCCACAGGGAGGTGGGGAATCAGGGAGCTGCTGGCTCCACCGCTGGTTCCGGGAACACCCCCCCCCCCCCTGGCTGTGGTCTAGTATCAGGAAGTGTGTGGCTTCCAGAGCCACACTGCAGCTAGCTGCTGGATCTGCATGGGCCCCAAGAAAGGAGCACCCAGGGGTGTGCTGCCGAACCTCCAAACAAATAAAAACACACCCAGTGTCTCACCAGCACCTTCTCAGAATGTTCTTTCTATATCGTGATTTGATGGACAATTCTACAAATATCATTAAATCCACCCAGCCAGCTGTGTGGTTCAAGAGCAATATTTCCTTGTGACTTTCTTTTCTTCTTTAAAAAAAATATTTTATTGATATTTTACAGAGAGGAAGGGAGAGAGATAGAGAGCTAGAAACGTCGATGAGAGAGAAACCGGGGATGTGCCTGCAACCAACGTACATGCCCCTGACTGGAATCGAACGCGGGACCTTTCAGTCTGCAGACCGATGCTCTACCACTGAGCCAAACGGGTTTCGGCTCTTTTTTTTTTTTTAAATATATATATATTTTATTGATTTTTCACAGAGAGGAAGGAAGAGGGATAGAGAGTTAGAAACATCAATGAGAGAGAATCATCCATCAGCTGCCTCCTGCACACCCC